GAAAATAATTCTTTTATTAAATAAATCGTTTACTAAATATCAAACTATAATATTTTATGGAAAGCAGTTAATGTTTATTAAATTGTAATGTTTATTTTCTACTTTTCCAATTTAATTTACTCATATAAAGAAAATCGTCATTTCCATAAATTAAATAGTTTATCAATTATAATAAATATTTTGTTAAATGTAATGAAGAAGTTCTAGTACACAGAGAAAACGATTTCTTTGAATTTAATAAATTTTGTTGTATCCAAACAAATTTGATATTAAAATTTTCCCTTCATTAAAAGAAGAAAGATAAACACTGAATTAGTACACTATGTTCAGCCATAATAAAAAATAGACCATTAATGATTAAACTGTGTCTGCTGATGCGGTCGCTTATATGGTATATCTAGCTGACACGATTTTACTTATGAGTTCGGCGGCCATCTAGTGGCAGCACCAAACTTTATAAGCGCCTGGCCCAAAAAAACTGAATTTAAAGAAATATGTACTAAAATGGTTTTTATAAAATTAAAATATCAAGATTCTACATTAAAAAAAATTCTTTACTACATTTCAACAAGTACTGTACTGTAATGTAGCAAATCTGAATTATATTTAAACAAATGTTTCAATAAGAAATCATTTTTTAATTTTAATGTTTTGATTCATTATAATAAAGAGAAAAATTTTTCATTTTAAACATTATTTATTTAAATCAAGTAAATCTAATTTTAGTAAATATATTTTCTAAAATTAAGAAAATTGTTTTCTCAGTGTATCTTTTTAATTATGCAGTCCCCCTGCCCCTGCCTGCCCGAATCCCTACCTATCCGTATTCCGCTGTATAGTCTTATCCATTTTCCTACCTACCCGCGTTTCAACTTTTTGTTAATAAACCTGCAAGTCCTTTCGTTAAAACCACGACGCGATTTATAAGAGGTCCGATTTGGGATTATACGCGCGCGATTTAATAGGGATTTAATAGAAGTCTTTTTAATCTCGCACATATGCAAGAATATGTAAAGATGATAAGAATATAACCCACCCGAATTTTGGCACATAAGAAGAAATCAATTTATTTCGTACAACACCGTATTCACATACCCCATCAAAGTGGCCAATATTGACCACTTACGCTATCTTATCCAGTTTTCCATCGTTGGGCCAGATTGGACATACCTTTTGTTGCTTCTGGCCATACAGTCTGGTCAACTTGACCAGAGATCAGGAAGGAAGAAAACTCCTTCCATAGTCGGTTTATTATCGTCACCGACAAATATTTCGTACGGTTCGAACTATATGCGAGCGTCGATCGTTTCGAAATGCACGAACACGAGAAGTTAATTAACGAAGAAAATGAATTAAAAAATTTTTCTGCATAAAACTAATCATATATATTTTTACTTCCGTTATTTATTCGAGAATAGATAATGACTGTCTCTTCGTGACTCAATCTCCAAATTCGAAATTCAAGTATATACAATGTATATAGAAAAAATAATTTACTTCGGGTTATATTTATTTTAATAACATTCCGCGATAAATGAAAATTTATAATATGGATGAAATTAAACAATAATTTCTTGAAAAGTTTGCTGAAAACTGATCGCGAAGACCGACCGCGAAAACACGAAGATGCGTGTAACTGTGCATGTATTCATGCAAGACGCATCTTGAAAGTATATCGCGAGATACACAAACAGGATAAATGACGTGAGATCCAGAGAAAAGAAACTTTCCGTACGATAGATAGACCGACAATTGAACATTCTAGTTAATCATAATAATCTCAAATAGCGTATGAAAATAATATCAAGTTTCAGCGTTCTCGACAAAATATTCGAATCTCACGCCATAGTATTTTACTTTACATACATGTATAAATTTGCTACTGAAAAATGGATAGAATAGGTCACAAGAGATTAACTCGACGAATATATCAATAATATTCGTCATACTTTGCGTGTGCGACGTGCTACAACGGAGCACCTAACCCTCCACAATAAAAATCGCGATCACGATCTCCTCGATAAATGAAATATATTAAAGTAAACGTGAAACTATGTCATAATCTATCCATTTTTTTGGTAACGAATCTCCAGAATATATCAGTCTATGATCTACATTCTACGATCTACGAGATTCATTACCTCAATAAAAAACTACTCACTCACCGACCGATGTGCAGCAGCGGAGTTGGCGTACGTCGATTCTGTAACACAAATAGAGAATTCGTTAAAGCAGTGTTTCATGTGAAAACTAATATGTTGTAAAATATATTTGCAAAATATAGTTAGACCGCACAAGTAATTCTTATGCGTATCACACTTTATTCTGGCAAAAAGATTACTTTTACACAAAATGAAAAATCACATTTACCGTAAAGTTGCTCCGCCGGCGCCTGATGCCTTTTCCAGGCCTGCTCCTCCACTCAGATTTTGTCCTCTGGCACACTCGCGAAAGCACAAAGATCGTTCGCGCGATTTTACACTCCCGTTTGCAAACCCCATACGAAGGTATTCTGTTCCGTCAAGTTCGCCTCCACTTCGAGTCGACGAGCAAGTTGAGACACGCGGTATCCACACCTTATTGCGAGCCTCAATAACTGTCGAATCTCAAAAGTGTGACAGGAACGGACATCGAACGAACACTTGTTCAAATGGGCTTCGAAAAGTCTTTGGCTCGATTATTACAAACGGCACTCCCGAACGCGACGAAAATGGAAACTTCGTATTATACGCGCACTTTCGTATGTACAATTGTCAGCGAGATTATTTCTTAGCAAGCGATCGATGTATTTTAACGGCACGGCGTGAGAGAGAATCATCCGAGTTCGTTGTGTAGACAATCGACATTTTCGTGAGAAATAATCGCGTTACGAGGAGCGACGCGAAAACACGCGACATGTTCGTCTCGCTCGACCCGCTCGACTGATCCCCGCGCCGAATAATTCCGTTCGCTAGATTGTTTTCGACCGAGGTGTTTTTGCGGCGCTACGTCATTTCGTGGAACCGGCGCTCGGCTTTCGACCGAGTTGTTTACGCCGCTCGGTCTACGACGCTCGGCAAAACAAGGTCGCGCCGTATGCAGGGATTGTTCACGTGATTCGCGCGGCGACAATTGATCGAGTCTGTTATGCCCGCGCCGTTCCGCATATTGTATTATTCTGTATTATTCTTTCTTGATACGCGATTTTGCGTGTCCTCGCGTCGCTTGTCGTAACGCGATCATTTTTTACGAGAATCTCGATCGTCACGTACGAGAGATATTAACATTTGTCAATCTCATTTAAGTAATTGTCGCGATCCGAAGTCAGAATCCGTAGAACCGATTTGCTTCGGTTAACGGGAGGTATTGCGACATTAAAATCGCGAAATTACTTATAGGACTTAACGACACGCGGCACAGACGGGACGCGGTACAATAATACACAATATGACTTAAAACGCAATAACTCGTAACGTAAATGTGGCTCGAAATAGAATTTGACTGCCAGACGGACACGGGAAGAGATACGACAAAATCGCGGGTCGCTCGTTACTCCAATGCTGCAATGCCCTGGTCCGCTAGTCTGGGCCCCAGACTCTGGGGGATGGTGGTCGGTCCAGTATGTCCGCTCGAATCCACGACCGATCTAAAGGCTGGTCTACAATACATGGAGTAAGCTGGAGTAAGGGGTAGGAGTAAGGAAATAAATCCATTTTATTTCTCACTCCTACTTTAGCTCTTAGGCTTACTCTCGGTGAATCAAAATGCCATCAATCAGTGTTACAATTATTTTAAAAATCATGCCCGTATTTCAGCTTCCTTACACAAAGCTAGAAGTTAGGGCTCTCCCTTACTCCTTACTCCACGTATTGTAGACCACGCATAATAGCTCCTTTCTTACGTCTGTCACCGCTCGCGTCTATTACGACAGTTACTGCGTTCAGCAGAAAACGCTGCTTTGCAACCAGATTCGTAAATTTTACAACAGTTGTAATTATTTTTATATATAATATATATAAAATATATATAATAAAAATAAAATATAATAAATATAAAAAAGCTGGTTTATGAAAGGCCGTAACCGTTAACTTATACCGGAATCGGTAAAAATTAATCCAATACAGTTAATTCTTAATCTCTTCACGTTTAACGATGATTGGACAATTTTTACCGGTTCCTGCAAGTTAACAGTTACGGCCTTGCATAAACCAGCCTCTAGTATCGCGATGGTGCGGTGTTGCAAAATAGCTAAAACTCAAGTTACCCCACTTGTTCATGAATTTTTCCCAAACTTATCATATTTTGGAAAAATTTCCCCAAAATATTATAATATATACAGGGTGTTCCAGGAGGAAAGGTCAATATTCTGGGAGGTGATAGTATCGGTCATTTTATTAGTATTATCAATACGCTCATTGGCCGCCGCTCGCGGCGATGCGCGGCGAGGAGTGGGGAAACTTATGAAAAAAATTGACCGCTATATGAGCGGTCGCGTAAGCGGCGGTCGTCCCTACATCACCAAAAATGTAGTTTATTTTTTAATAAATTTGCAATTAGTCTCTTTCTCTAGAATTGTATATAAATACTGAAAAATAAATACATTTGAGCAAATATCTAGTAAAAGAAGTATCGAATAGTTACAAGACATAATATGGTGTTTCTGGTGGTTCGATAAAAGAATTTATTGTACATCTTACAATAGTAAAATGTTCTCCCGGACAGAATGATTAAATATATTTTAACGTACTAACATATAATCACATAAAATTAAGTCATTGTTATCACAAAATGTGTCTATTTTATTCCGACTTTTCGGGAAACGCAACTTTCGGTTTGTTGGACAACTCCGAGTCGGCTTTATTCGCCCTATTAGAGCGAAGCACCGCGCCAGGACTGGGATACGGTCTCATTTGATAAAGAGGGCCTGATGCGGTCGTATCAGCACCAGTTTTAGCCTCGTTATGTTTCGCCAATCCATCCGACCACTTTCCCCTACAACGCAATTACACGTAAATAAAAAATTAATGCAAATTATTCCCCGCTAAGGGAATAAAACGAATCCTTGACGGGCAGCGTGCTCGTCGATCTTGCAAACGTTTATAAATAGAAACACGTACCTAGGAATATCGCTATAGGATGCTGGGTCCATAGGATCCAAAGTACGATCTTTCATATCTTTACCGTCGTTCCTATCAGATCTATAGGCTCTCTTGTTGTCTGGTCCTTTATATCTTGTACGTGTCTCGATCTTCCTATCTTTTTTGACGGGTTCACTTTCCTCCACCTGAATAATCATAGTAATAGTTATGAATGTAAAATTTTAAATTCTATGACATGCAAACTTGTTATCAGAGACCAGACAAAATAGCGTGCTATCGTGCTTGGAGCGGGAGAAACGACACCGCGATCCGGTCTTTGTTTATGTATCATATATGTATAATCATAAATGTTAAATAGTAATGCACAAGTCATAAGAAAATGAGTCGTAAGTATTAGTCAGAGTCTTAGTCATAAATGTTACGTTGCAGAATTTGCAAAATGCAAACTTATTATGATAAAAATGTAAAATGTAAACTAAAGCCAACGGCACACGATACTATTTTTCCTACTGGATTGCTTACGAGAGCCAATCAGGATGCACAGTTTTCGATCAGGTGACTCAAAGCTGAATCCCGATTGGCTCTCGTAAGTAATCCAGTGGGAAAAATCGTATCGTGTGCCGTTGGCTTAAGTCGTAAGTATTAGTCAGAGTCTTAAGCCAACGGCACGCGATACTATTTTTCCTACTGGATTGCTTACGAGAGCCAATCAGGACGCAGAGTTTTCGATCAGGTGACTCAAAGCTGAATCCTGGTTGGTTCTCGTAAGCAATCCAGTAGAAAAAAATAGTATCGTGTGCCGTTGGCTTTAGTCATAAATGTTACGTTGCAGAACTTGCAAAATGCAAACTTATTATGATAAAAATGTAATTACTAACTTCCATTGGTTCTTGATCGCTGGTACTGTCGTCACTCGACATGTTATCATCTTGATCTCCCGCTTTCAAATGCAGTTCTTCGCGCAACTGAGATGCAGGTTGAGATATTTGACATCTGGGATGACCAGGTGGTAACCAAGATACCAGATCAGATGACCAATCCCAATAATAATGTTGTCCGCTATCAATGGATTTTTTTTTAACATCTTATACAATCAGACATAAAATTAGTATACGACTTCAATCTTATTGTAAAAATAGGATGACTAAAGATTATTCCGAATACAACACCGTTTAAATAATCACAAAATTCAACGATTGCTCTTGGAGAAGAAATCTGTTTGTAAAAGGCTAAAAAATTATCAACACTCACGATCCAGGATCGTAAACGGCTTTCCAGGTCTCCGGCAGTGGATACTTTTGAATTAATCTCATTTGTTTCTTCAGGTATTTGTCCGAAGGTTGCACGTGTCCCATTCCCCATAGCTCCTTACATTTTTTCGTACATTCGTGATAAATATTATACTTATTCGGGCACCCACTGTAACCCTAAAGAAATTATTCCTTAAGAGTAATAATTTAAACAAGTTCGCAAGAATACGAACGGTTGTTAACTTATAGTTACACCTACCATAAATTTCTGGGATATGTCAATCTGGTTAATCTCTTCTTTCGTGTTATCATAATCTTCAGCTATCACTTCCTCGTGCACTTTCTTCTTCTCTCTCTTCCCGGATTCTGCAAGATCAACAGCATAACCTAACATTACAGTCGCACGCGACAATGCAACCTTTATGATTCACGCATTACTTTCTATTAATTGGAAGGAAATAAATTCCATACGGAAAATCTACAGCGACGACAGTTGCTCGATTGTAGTTTGAAAAGTAAATAATACCGTGCTTTTCGGATCCAGTGATTAGTCCCCTTTTCGCAAGGCGCGTAGCTAATGCTGCCGGCAAAGGCATCTTGGATTTTCTTGCCTCGAACTTTCAGAAATTCACTTATTATGTAGACAGCGCAGAAACGGTTTCTTTAAATTAATAACTCAAACTTGATAACTAAATTCTAGCTTTAAGTCTCACTCGCGATTATTTACGCTTACAATATACCGAAGTGTGAAAACGCAAGTCGCGGTACTCGCGGTCCGAAACACATGCTCGAGGTACCATACTGGTCATATGCTGCGTTCCGTAACACACCCGTATTAGGACCGGCGCACAAAATCTTTGACATGCCGTGCTTTCCAGCAAGCGACACAAGTCGACACAAATGTCGTTCTGTCTTTCTTCGCATTCAATGAATAATAAAGACAGAACGACACTTGTGTCGACTTGTGTCGCTTGCTGGAAAGCACGGCTAGTTTACAACTTGATACGCGTATCAAATAGTAACAAATAGTAAATAACTAGTAAATTCGTTTGGTCATTGGCTGATTAGTTCAAATACGCTATTTGATACGCGTATCAAGTGCACGATGTAAACTAGGCGTTATCTGTAAAAAGCCTCGTCTACATGAGCTGTATTCCGATATTCACTGCCACTACTGAAAATGTATAGTATACGTGACGTAAACTATAGATTTGCAGTACTGGCAGTGAATACCGGAACACAGTCATTGAAGTAAAGTTGTAGTCGTAAGAATAGTCGACTATGATTGGTCAATTCTTATGTGTCTGACGAAATTGACCAATCGCAGTCGATTATTCTTACGACTACGACTCTGCGACTCGCATTGTAGACCACGCATAATAATATATTATTATACACATTACGAATATCATAAAACAGCATGTCATAAATCAGTCATTGCAAAGTAAATCTTGATTTCGATCATTTTATGACGTAAAATTCATCATTTAAATGTCACAATGGCCGCGTTCAGCAGGCACAACTGTTGAGTGAGCGCTCAATGATTTCTTAACATGATTGGCTGGATCTGAAAGTATTAACCAATCATACTTGCTGAGCGCTCACTCAACAGTTGTGTCTGCTGAACGCGGCCATTTTTTGTGATTAACTTTTTCTACTTGGGATCTCTATTGTAGACTAAAGGCTGAGTTATGATGGCCGTAACTGTTAACTTATGCCAGAACCGGTAAAGTTCGATACTGGGATTTCAATGCTTTCGTTCAGAAACCCATTATGAACGAAAGCATTGAAATCCCAGTATCGAACTTTACCGGTTCTGGCATAAGTTAACAGTTAAGGCCTTTGCACGTAAAAAAGCATTAACCGTAACCGTAATTTTAGTCCATAACCTACGGACCCTACGTAATTTTAGTCCGTAACCTTAGGAATTTTACTTGGGTTGCTCCATCTGTCTGTACGTGTTGAAAACTACGATTACGGACTAAAATTACGGTTACGGTTAACGCTTTTTTACGTGCAAAGGCCTTTACGGCCATCATAACTCAGCCTTGACACTAATAGCGTTTTCGATTTGCTGACTCGGAGTCGGGTCGAGTCAGAAAATCGAAAACGCTATAAGTTTCTATCGTCCATGAAATTGCACCTGTAGGGAACGCGCAGTCTATGGGCCATTGCACACAAAATTGCATAGCTGCATGTGCATAGCATGAAAGCTTTTTAAACCAATGAACATCGAGCATCGAATCGTCATATTGATTTACATAACATGCTCATTGGTCCAGATGGTCTTATGCTATGCATATACAGCTATGCAATTTTGTGTGCGATGGCCCTATTACTTGCTACGTCTATGGCTGCGGCCATGAATCGACGCGCGAACAGACCCTCAGGTCTCCCAAGTCCGTCGCGCCTGTCATTTCATCAATGGCCGTGTCGCATCTAACGAGACTGCAGGTTTCGTGACGATAAAACGTAGTCCAGTGTCAACGCCCAGTTTTTTGCGTGTGAGTGTTTAATTTAAATTTCGTATATACCTACGACCGCATTACCCTCGTCGTTAATCGCACGGCGATTCCGGGGAACCGGACCTCGCGCGCCCAGAGTGCTACTCCCGCCGCGCGTTCACGCCGTACGGCGGAGCGTATTTGACATAATGGCCAAAATGGCGACACGGAAAACAATATTTTCTCCAGTGCGCTGATGTGCCACTTCACGTGGAGCCGTCCGCCCGCTTATCGCGCCCGTCGCAGTGGAGTTAACGCCAGCCGCGCGTGGAGCACCGACGTAGCGATAATCCGCGAGACATTCGCGATCGGACGCGACCAACGGACCCTCGAATTAGCGCGACAGAATCAATTTGCCGCACGTCGATTCTTCGCCAATTATAATTCGCCGCGGCTGCGGCTCGCGGGCCCGGTATTCTCGCGCATGAAAGAGGTTTGCTCGCAATAATAATCGCTGTCGGTCACCGCCACCGCGCTGCGCATATAATTGAGTTAAATTGCGCAATTGTCCGAGGTTTTCACTGGCGCTGTCCCTTTTGTGCTCGCCAGTGTTCAGCCACGGTTTAAAAAGTCCAATTCCTCAATTTTCTTCAGACGAGAGGATGCTACGTTATGTATCTGAGATTAGATTAGATTATTGTCCTATTATATGTCTGCGGTTGGTGTTCAGTCCAGGCCTGTCGATCGAGAGCAACGCTTCATGTCGAGGAAGCATTTTTGATATGTTGCGGCCATATGTGAATACGAAGATCCATCAAGTGACACACTTATTTCCACGGTGGACTGTGCAATCTGGATCGCGCTTAGTTAATAAGTTAATATTGGAGACAAAAGAAACTGTAATTTGCACACCTGGAGCTTGTTTTTCTGATCGCTGCACTGGACTGCGCCAGACTTTTCCTTCTCGCTTCTATCAAGTTGCAAACGGATCACTTAAGAACGTGCATTCAGACTGAGAGCTGCGTTTCCAAATCTTGTCCGAGGAATGTTTTGCTCGATGGCCATTCCGAAATTATTTCGAGCGTTTCCGATCTATTACTCAAGTTCCTAAACTCATTTAAAGAAAAGTGTCGCGACCATTCTGTCCATCACTGTACACTCATTTCACTTTGTATATAAACTCTAATCTAATCGCAGATACACGAGAACATACGCTAGTTCAGCTTTCAGCTGTAAAAGCGTCTCGTTATTCCATTCGCGGAAAGAAAAATGCAGTTGCCGTAGCTGAAAACTGCTTGTGGCAACTAAATTTCAGTTGTAAAATATGGACAGCTACTATGTAGTTGTGATAGCTAAATATCTTGCTACTGTGATAGCAAACCGTTTGCTGTGGTTTAGAAATTTATAGTTGTGGCAGTAAAATATTTCAAGCGAACCATGATTAGCTATGGTACCGAAAATTTTCTTTTCAGTGTTTGTTACCAAGTAAATTCTTACGTATTTAATATTACAACATTCAATTCTTTAACGAAGAATTGATGTCATACGAATAAGCAGTCGCAATTGTCGCTAGAGTTCTTGGTACGATATTGTTGTTCAAAGGAAATAAGATGCGTCTTGTTCTCATTTTTCCACAGGCAGCATTTGGAGTAATTCAAAATGCAGACAATAAAGTGTGTGGTGGTTGGAGATGGCGCAGTTGGTAAAACCTGTCTATTAATCTCTTACACCACGAACAAATTTCCATCGGAATACGTCCCGACAGTATTCGACAATTATGCCGTCACTGTCATGATTGGCGGCGAGCCGTACACATTAGGATTATTCGATACAGCTGGTAAGTATTGTCATTAGTTCGTAGAACAATTGTTTCAAGTGTATATTATTATACACTTAGCATACAATAATATACAAAGTTATGCTATAAAGAATAAGGTAACGTTAGCAACAATTTACTTGTAGCGAATTCGATTGCTTGCATTACTGCGCACTGAGTGCACACTAAGGCCTGTTTACAGTCAATTTTTATATTTAACTTTGTCTTAAATACACGTTCAAATAATCCGCACGGATGCTATCATTTTACTGGCTAAGAAATATTTCAAGATATATTTAAGACGATCCTTAAAGATAAGAATTGACTGGAAACAAGCTTTAGTGTGCCCTCAGTGCGCACTAGTGCAAGCAACCGAATTCACTGTTAGATTTTTGAACGTCCTTTTAGGTCAAGAAGACTACGATCGTTTGCGTCCATTAAGTTATCCCCAAACCGATGTATTTCTCGTGTGCTTCTCGGTTGTGTCACCGTCGTCGTTTGAAAATGTCAAGGAAAAGGTATGATACAAGATTCATCAATCGTGTTATTATATTCAATACTTTATCCGTAATATTCACAGTGGGTACCGGAAATAACACACCATTGTCAAAAGACGCCATTTTTATTGGTCGGTACGCAAATCGATTTACGGGATGATGCGGCCACAATTGAAAAGCTAGCCAAAAATAAGCAAAAGGCTATTTCGGGGGAACAAGGGGAGAAGCTCGCTAAGGAACTAAAAGCTGTAAAATATGTTGAATGTAGCGCTCTTACACAGGTATGATAGTAACCTGTTTGTCTATTCAATAATGTTTTAGTAGTATTGGGTCGCTCTCATAAAAGTATTTAACATTGTATTACGCAATTAAGTCTGAGAATTGATCTTTTAATTGGCTAATTTTGTCGCTATAGCTGTTTTTTTCTTTACATTTCAGAAAGGACTTAAAAATGTCTTCGATGAGGCAATATTAGCCGCTTTAGAGCCTCCAGAACCCGTTAGGAGAAGAAGGTGTATTATTTTGTAGAAGGCGTACGACTTTTTTTATAAAACTGTTAGTTCTACAGTAACGAAGACTGTAAGTTTCCTCATATACACTGCATGCAAAAGTTTTACAGTGACAATTGTTAAATTCTAAGGCATATAATAAGTATTTTATAACATTGGCGGCAAATACGGATATGAAGCAATCTTTATCTATATTGGCATTATATAAATTTTATAATTATAAAATTGTAATTGTAATTATTAAATTACATCTTTGCCTTGTATAATGAATGTTATATCGACATATCTCGCATTATTCTGTGCATCTCTGTGTTTACATTACGGCAATCAAATGAATTGTCCGAGCACAGGGTGTTAAACGAGAGATTCAAGAGAATTTAGGGGATATATTATAGTATCCGTATAATACCTATCGTTAAAAGGGAAATAATTTTGCTCAATATTAACTGTTTCTTAAAAAGGATTGTACGTTTTGTATGATTTCATGTGAATTACGACATGACGTACACATATATGCGAGTGTAACATTGATTTCTGCATTTTTTGAACTGTTTCGTATATCAATTAAAAGTTTTTTGTCCTTTTGGAGTGCTCTAATCATAATTTTCTACATTTTTTTTTTTTTTAGGTACATCTCTGTGTGTACCTTACATATATATATACACACACAACAAACATGTGTGCGAATAATAAAAATATCTATCGATAGATTTAATTATTTAAGAAATCAGTAAATTTTGCGTTGTAGCTCACGAAAGTAATTAAACGAGGATTACGATGTATGGTATAACGTATATTGTTATTATGATTTATAAAATACGACAGGAAAAAAGGAAATTCTTGTTATATTACGGGATGGTGTGTAAAAACATTGCACGCGCGCATATGTACTCTATACATAGCGACATTCTGTCGTAAGTTCTGTGAAACTTACTTGGTGGCCATATGTTATCAGCAAAACACATAGTTATGTTAATATATTTTATTAGTTTAAGGCTTCTTTGGACATACTCACCCGCGGCCATGTGGAATCGTGACGTCAGAGGCGAGAAATAACACGCCGAGAATTCTCGCGTGCCATTTATAATCAAAGAAAAGGGTATTTGAATGGAAAAACACTTCACATCGCTTTAGCACGCATGTAAAATTGTCCTTTTCCCTTTTAACAGTCAGCAAACAGCCGTCATATCATATATACGTCTAGACTTTGTTTCACATTTATTTTACGGCTGTTTACTAATTACTAAGGACAAAAGGATAGTTTTCAGATAATTTTACAAGTGTGCTAAAGCCATCTGAAGTGTTTTTCTGTGCGAATGTCTAATATCCCAGATAACATGCTTGTCTAAAAGACATCTTCAAGACTTCTTTAAGACGTCTTTAAGATATCTTTTAGACGTGTATGTCTAAAAGATGTCTAAAAGACGTGTTAAAGACATCTTAAAGATGTCTTTTAGACATGCGTGTTATCTGGGATCTTTTTATTTGAAAATGGCACGTAAGAATTCTCGACCTGTCTTTTCTCACTTTTGAAAAACACGATTCTCACGTCCGCAGCGAATATCCGGGAACTTTAATATATTTCTATATTGCAATCATACTTCTCTTCTTAGTCATTTGTAGCCTTATATGATTTAGTTATATATATTGGTATCATATTTCATCCACTTCTGTGTAGACCTACAGCTTCTACGTTAATTACATTGAGGGATCTTAGTACCCATTTATTTAAAAATATAGTTACTAGCTAATATTCTATATGAAAGTAGAATACACCCGTTTTCTAAATCTGTTTTATTTAAGACAATTTTATTTTATTCTTATTTTTTAATTATTATTTTCGTCTTTTATACATGTTGCTAAAATAACTCGTAGCGTACATAAATATATTATTTTAATAATACTTAATAAATTATTATATGATATGTATATTATACTTTTTACAATGCAACGGATAGTTTAGTAATATAATTAGTAATACAACAAAATTTTAAATTTTAAATTTGGATATTATATATATATAATATTAAATACTATTAAAAATATTTTTTTTAGCGTAAGTTATTAATTTCAGCTTAACATATCATTTGCATAATATACCCAAGTAATGTATAAAAAGTTCTTTTCGTTTTTGAGAATAATATGATTTGAATTTAGTGAAAATGAATATTAAAGATTTTGTTAAAAATTTTATTATTTTCCATGCTCGAGCTTGATTCGAATCAGCCTTGAGGTTGAAATCATTTTGAGTATAAGGTTTATTTTCGAATCCATATATGTATATGTTATTTCAGCCTTATTATGCGGCCAAAGAATCGAATCGAGTCGAAGTACGCGGATTAGAACTATACAGACTTCTGTCGAATGTATTTGGTCGTAGCGATTTTTTTTAGATAAATCTTAATTATTATTTCTGTTCAATACTCTCTTTCTTTGTATTATTTTATTTTATTGTACATATCTTTTTATTTCTAATAATCGATTACATCATAGCCTTTTTTTAAATCATATTATCTTTACTTTGTTAGGATTTTGTGATTTTTTTTGTAATCGAACTATTTAGGTACATTCGACACGTAGCAAACTTTACTACGTTAAAGTATACTGTAATGAAGATAAATCGAAAGAATTTATCAGAGATTTGTAATTACAAATCGTAAAATACGACATTAAATTAAAAATTATTAGTTTTATAGATATATAAGAATCCGAAAAATTTTGTAAGAATGCTGCAAGATATGCGCGCGTGCGTGTATGAGTGTATTATTATTAGCCGGGAAAAGTATTTATTATACCATTTATTAATATTTCTACGATGGCCGAAACGTTTCTTTTGTATACACACTGACATTTTTTAGTCACTCTTGATTCCAGAATTACAAAAATAAAGATGTTTATAATATAATGTAATAATTCTCGTCTTGTGCTTACGCGAATCCCTGATTGTCACAATAGATGCAAGTTAATTCGCAGCATATTTTTAGGACAAATTGCACAACCGGGGAGGAAATGTTTTTAACGCAGTCGCGTAAATCTTATTTCAGCAAATGAAAACTCGCCGTATACAAGTTGTTCACTGTTTAATATATGTATAGGCGGTTTTGAATTTAAGAGTATTAGTAGTGTGATTTTTTTTAATAAATTGCTTTTCAAAATGAATTTGAATCTTTTTTACGGTTATACTCGATCGAAATAACGTGAAACTTTAGTGTATACCCACATATTTTTTTCTTACGAAGGAAGATGCTAATTCGGGACTTAAAAAAATTGTCACTCTAGCAATGTAGAGTTCCTCTAATCAGAGTCTTGCCAACAGGCCAGTTTCGGCAAAATGACGCGAGAGAGAAAGAAATATATTCTCTCTCACTCTACATGACGCATATGCTGTATGTTGAGTTGGAGGGAATATATTTCTTTCTCTCTCGCATCACACACATTATGCCGAAGCTATCTGTTGGCCAGACTCTAATTAGAGGGACTCTATAGCAATGCATCGAGAATGCCCTCATGTAACAAGTTATTGTCTTTCGTTGTCCGAACTCGCTCTAAAGGGTGAAATCTACCCCTGAAAGTTGACCCACTTTTTGTCTTATTCGCCTTGAAAAGAAAATGGAATAAAAATTTATGGAGAAAACGTATTTCCTTTAATGAGACTTATCGATTAGAAAACTTATAAATTGTTTAAAGAATTAGGAAAGATGTATAAAAGTTGGAGGAATATTCTCAATACTTCTATATTTTTAGCATAACTTGTTTTATAATTAATACATATTGTACTTAATTTTAAAGTTGTATAACTTTATATACAATTACATATTATATTCAAATGTTTAGGTATATTTATATGATTTCTTCGTTTCTAAAATGTATACTTATACAATATTTACATATTAATTTATTTATATAGTAATGTTCTATGATTTTATATAAATAAATAAAGTAAAGTTAAAACACATTAACGTAATATTAAAAAAACAGTAGATATAAGAATATTGAGAGTGTATTCTTCATTTTTATTTATATATTTTTTAATTAATTCTTTAAACTATTGAGTTTTCTAATCGATAAATTTTATTTAAAGAAATAAGTTTTCTCTATAAAATTCCGTTCGATTAATTTTACTCTTTCAGGTTAATTTTATGGAAAAAAAGGTTTATCACACATGCACGGAAGAAAAATTAGCTGCCGTAGCTAAAAACTGCATGTGGTAACTAAATTTCAGTTGTAAAGTATGGACAGTTAATATTTAGTTGTGACACCTAATACTTTGATACCGCATCTATTGTATTAGGTGCGACAGCAAACCGTTTGCTGTGGGTTAGGAATTTATAGTTAATGCAGCAAAATAGTTTTAGCAAATCATGATTAGATACGCACTGAAAAAAGCATTTTCGCTACCATAGCTAATCATGGTTTGCTAAAAATATGTTGCCGCCATAACTACAAATTTCTAAACCACAGCGAAACGGTTTGCTGCCGCACCCAATGTAATATGCACAGTAGCAAAATATTTAGCTATCGTAACTAAATATTAGCTGCTCATATTTTACAACTAAAATTTAGTTACCGCATGCAGGCTCTTAGCTACGGCAACTACCTGCTTCTTTCCGTGCGGTAACGAAAGATTTTTTTTCCAGTGTACGCATTCTCTGGGTATCGCCGGAGTTTCACAATTTCTTGAATTTCCAAGCTAGAAGATCCTCCTTTGTTATTATAATTTGTACACGTATATACAAATATCGTTGTCCGTTCGCGTATACAGCGCGTTTCATTCTTTCAGCGTTCCAGTCGGTGAACGCCCGCAACGGTACAACCGCCGCTGTAATTTTTATGGTCTGGTTTATTTTCAGTAAGCCGCATGGTGATAGTTGCAGCATATCCGGTTTTCGGGTATTATTATAGCGGACACGCCAAGTTTCGGCTCGATTGAATTCGGATGATCCCGTGGCCCATTATGGGCCCCGTGCCGTTCTACGGGTGTGCGCTGCCGCGCTGTACAAATATATTTCTTTTTTTTTCTTTGCCGAACGATGTAATCCAATTGAAGTGACAGCGGTACGTAAACTGAGTTAATTGGAGCGTGCGTACTGGACCTTTTATGTGGGATTCACAAGCTGACACGGATATTCTGCAATTTATCCGTTGCAATTGTTACAGCCGTTTCTCCCATTTGTCCAGCGAAAAGCGAAAAAATAATATCCCGCCACGTTCTGTGTGTGTGCGTTTTTTTTTCGCCCGCGAGAGATGGATGGGATTGTTAGAGTCGGCGAGACGGTGAGAAATTCAACGATGCAGGCGGCAACGTCGTTTGAGAGCTGTAAGATTATTCACGGCTCCGGGTAACAATTACGAGAAGTGATTCCTGACATCGGGAATCACGTTACATAACATCGTACTCCGTATTCAATTATCGACGATTACAGAACTGTAAAGAGAGAAAAATAAAGGATTGCTCAGTCAATGCGTACTCGGAGGGACGTGTGCGTGCAGCGAGGCTGGAGATTGATCTTTTACAGAATTTCCCAGGCCTTGCGCGGTTTATAAATAATGGCGCGACGGAATAATTATACGTACAGGGTTAATCAGAGTAACTGGAGCAAAGGGATAATCGTGACACTGAAATAGAATCGCTTTAAAATGTGGTAAAAGTTTTACCATAAACTCGATGTGCCGCGCAGAAGTAACGCTTAAAACCCTTAAAAACCGTTTCTCCAGAAGTACAAAGGCGCGACGGTGCATAGGGATTAAAGGAAAAAGGGACGTTCGAACGACTTCGAAAACTGGGTCGTTATTACGAGGATTCGACTTGTTGGCGCACTTCAAATTGTTCGTGAAATTTCAAAAATACACGGAGAGAATTTTCTATTAAAGTTTATTTCGAAAAGCATGTGATCGTGGACCGACGTGACATTTTGGAAAACTTTTTGTGATTTTTTTAAATTTTACCATATACGTTACTGGTAGTTACACTTACAATTAGTATACATTTTACTAGTAAAATGAGTTTCAAAAAATCATAGAAAGTTCTCCAAAATGCCATGTTGTTCCACGATCACATAATTGTCAAGGTAAATTTTAAGAGAAAATTCTCTCCGCGTGTAACATTCGAAAAAAAAGAAGAGAACGATATAAAGAAAGAGATTGTATCTCGAAGACACGTATTGTCGAAAGAATTTTAAGATCAAGATGAAAAGTTGGGATTTTATGAGTTTTTTGAAATTTTACCATACCTTTTATTTGCATTAATATGCGGTACAGTTTCAAAAACTCATAAAAAGTTTTCCAAAATGCCATGTTGTTCCACGATCACATAATTGTCAAGTTAAATTTTAAGAGAAAATTTTCTCTGCGTGTAACATTCGAAAAAAAGAAACGAACGATGTAAAGAAAGACGTACTGTATCTCGAAGATACGTATCGTCGAAAGAGTTTTAAGATCGAGACGAAACATTTGGCATATTTCTCACAGTGGAAAATCCTGATAAAAAACAGAAATCTTGCGATAGAGAGAAGTCTTCCCTAAGAGAAAAAGATGTGCCGAAAGGAGCTCTCGAACGACTTCAAAACTGGGTCGTTACTCCCAAAAGATTCGATTTATAAGGGCACTTGAAATTGCTCGTGAAATTTTAAAAGCGCACGACATTCGCAAGAGGAAGGAAAAGTCACGATACAAAGAAAAAAGAATACCTTGATCTCGGGGACGCGTGTTCCAAGATCTTTCGAAATCGAGACTAGATATTAGGCGTTTCTCGACAGGAAATCCCCACAAAGGAGGGCGGGGGGACTTCGCGACGGAGAAAACCCTTGCGAGAAAAACGCATAAGGGCCTGTGCAGAAAGATTGTCGTAAGTGTTTACGATTCTATAAGTCAATGTCGGAAATCAACGCACAAAGAATTGTCGTAGACGTGTGTCGCATCCGTTGCATCGCGAGGCGACATACGACAATTCTTTGTGCGTTGACTTTCGAGACTGACTTACTTACGTCTTAAGTCTGTTATACAATACGTCGTATGTCGCTGTTGGGACGTAGTCGATGGCCCAATGAGAAAATTTCTTTTTTGGAAGGAATTGCAGGATTGTAAAATTCTCGAGTATCTAGAAATTTTCTATTCAGCAGCCAACCGATACGCTTGAAAAATTTGTCGTACGACAAATGTAATGTTAGGCTAAGGCTGGTATTACATTTGTCGTACGACAAATTTTTCAAGCTTGACGATTGGATGCAAAATATATATAATTTCTAGAGACTGGAGAACTTTTCTATTCTGCAGCCAATTAACGCGCTTGAAAAATTTGTCGTACGACAAATGTAATATTAGCCTAGGGCTAAAATTTGTCGTACGGCAAATTGTTCAAGCGTGTCGATTGGCTGCAAGATAGAAAAGTTTTCGAGCATCCAGAAATTTTCTAGCTTGTAGCCAATCAACGCGCTTAAAAAATTTGTCGTACGACGACTGCAATAGTACCCTAAGGCTGTCGTATGACAAATGTAATATTGGCCTAAGGCTGAAATTTGTCGTACGGCAAATTGTTCAAGCGTGTCGATTGGCTGCAAGATAGAAAAGTTATCGAGCATCCAGAAATTTTCTAGCTTGTAGCCAATCAACGCGCTTAAAAAATGTGTCGTACGACGACTGCAATAGTAGCCTGGCGCACCCGTTCGTATCTGCGCTCTCGCGAGAGACGCGCGGCGCGCGAAAAGGACGTCCGCGAGGGAAATTGGCGGAATGCGAGTCGTCGGGTGGTTCATCGGCGACAGCGGCGGCTCTCTCTCTTTTTCTCCCGGTCGACGTCTCGACCCATTTCCGAGCTCGTGGATTCGCGACGTGTCAGTAACAACAAGTACGGCCGACGTAGCCGTGGAATGGAAAGTCGCCGGTAAGTACGATCGGATCAGCGGGCCGGGGGCATGGGCGACAGCGGCACGACGGCAGCAGCGGCGGGCGGCGGCGATGGCGGCGGCGGTGCTGGTGGTGGAGGTGGCGGAGGAGGAGGAGGCGGCGGCAGCGGCGGAGGCGGCAGTAGTGACGGCGACAGTCTTGGTCGGCGCGTCACGGCGAGCAACGCTCGCTGACCGACATCGCACGTAGAGGACTACTAGTCGCGCGAGGAGGCTGCTCCGTTTCATCGATCCTCTCCTGCGTTCCGTCTACGCGGGCCGTTTCGTTTTTCTCGCGCTCGACGGCGGCTCTCGGCGAATCTCGAGGAGGAGGGGAAGGAGGAGGAGGAGGAGGAGGCGGAGGAGGAGGAGGAAGGCGACGACGGCGACGGCGACGATGGCAAGAGTAGCGCGAGCGCGGTCGCGTGCGCCCGTCCCACCGACGGACTCGCGTTACTCGCGAGCGTGATTCCTCCGGCGGTGGAGGGAAGCCCTCGCGGTGAGCGATCGGCTCTTGGTACCTTGGTAGCAGTACAACGGCGGTCGCGGGCAGCGGCGGACCGATCGCGGAGTCGTGTCGCGTGCGTCGGCGGTCTTCTCGGCATTCGTCACGCGAAATCGATAAACGGGGACGTCGCGAAAGGGAGAAAGAGGGAGAGAGAGAGAGAGAGTGAGGAGAGGCGGTCGCTTACGCGCTCACGTTACGATTCGCGTCGTGAAAGGTGTTAAACGAGGACTCGAGCGAGAGAGCGAGAGAGAGAGAAAACGGAGGCTCTCGGGGGATAATTGCAGGAAACGTGAGCGACGGCGATCGCGGTTGGACTCGACTGGTCGGGAAACCTCGCGACGTCTCGCCTCGCTCCGCCGCGGAGAATTCCGCTCTCGCGGCGAACGGCGACGTTTTTCGGGCGGCCGCGCGAATTCGCGGGGTCCCCCCCCCCCTCTGCGCGCCCTCCTACCCTCCTCCCTCGCGCGGCGCGAGAGGTGAAATCGCCGCGTCGCCTCGGCCCGGATGGAACGTCGCGCGACGACGGCCACGGCGCGTCGCAGTAACCTTGGGGCGCCGTCAAGGTAACCGGGATCTTCCGGGGGCGGCGAGAAACCGCGCCGGAGAACCGTCATCCGCGAGATGAAGACGAGCTCCAGCGTGCCTCGATCGATAGGCGCGCGGCCTTCGCCGGACTGACTTCCTCGCGCACGCAACGCGAGGGCGAACGCGCGCCGCGTTCACCAAGGAGCACGTGCACATCCCCGGTGGCGGCGGCGGCGGCGGCGGCGACTACGACTACGACTACGACGACGCTGGTGGTCGAACGACGCGGGATCGGCGGTTTGGCGATCGGTCGTCGCGGCAACCACGACGGGGGTGGCGAGCATCCGAGTCGAAGCATGTGATCTCCGCGGGGGTTCATCGATCATCACGCCGCCGCGCCACGCCGCGCCGCGACGCGCCGCGTCGCGAGGGAGGGATGTTGCCGCGGCCGCACATCGGCAGGATTACTTAACGTCGGCCCCCATGCGACCCGCGCCCGTCCCGTACGCCGATGGCCGGCGCGAATGACCGGCGACGACGAGCGGTGAGCGATAACGGCGGCGCGTAGACAGGTGGAGTATCGTTGGCCGTGCGAGAAAGTGTGTACGCGCGTCGCCGCCGCGCCGCGCCGTGGGAACGCGAGCGCGAGGGACAGGTAGGAAGCCGCAGCACAGGTGGCGGTGGTAAGGACGGACAGAGGGGAGAGAGAGGGAGAGAAAGAGAAAGGGGGAATTTAAGAGGGAGAGAGAAAGAAAAAGCGCTGTATTGTCCTGGGGGGCGAGACCTGGGAGAACTGTGGAAAAGGTATACAATGGAAGGATGTGCAACATGTCAGTGTAAGTGAATGACACATCGGGGGAGAAGGAGAGAGAGAGAGTGAAACGTGACTTGTAGGAGAAAGAGGGAGAGAGAAGCCCCAATAATGAAGGAACACGGCAACAAACAACTTCCGGCGGAGCCGGCGGCGAAGACGCTCAAGTCGCTGCTGAAGAAGCCGGGCCAGACCAAGGCGAAGTCGCAGAAGCATCGCGTGGTCATCAACGAGAAGCTGAACGAGTTCTTCGCGGCGGACTACATTATACTGATCAAGGAGGAGTGCTGCGCCGATTACGAGGAGGACTGCGACTGCTGCTACCAGGAGCACGAGTTTATGCGACTGGGCAACTGCAAGGAGTGCCGGGCGGAGTTGAACTTGCACTTCGGCATCGGCACCGGCGGCACCGGCACCGGCACCGGCACCGGCACCGGCACCGGCACCGGCACTGGCAACGCCAACGCCAACGGCAGATACGGCGAGATGGCGAGGGGTGTAGAGCAGGCGCTCGGCGATCATCGCGGCGGCGGGCCGCGCGGAAAGAGTCAGCAGGGTCGCGAGGACACGCGAGCGGAGGAGGACGAGGAGGAGGACGAGGAGGAGGCGGACGACGGCGAGGAGGAAGAGGACGAGGAGGAGGAACGGGAGGACGAGGAGGAGGACGAGGAGGAGAACGTCCACGGGAAGTTGGAGAAGGTGGTGTCGGCGACCGCGGCGACGACTACGACGGCGGTCACGTCGGCGGAAGCAAAGGAGGAGCGAGGAAGCGTGGCCGCGGAGGACGCGGCGAAGGGACGCCGAGACTCCCAGGAGGAGAGCGGGGCCGCGGCACCGTCGCCGCCGCCGCCGCCACCGCCGCGGCACGACCAGCAGGAGACGCTCAGCCCGCCGGAGGGCTACAAGGACGTGTGCTCCGACAGCGAGGTCGCCCCCAACGAGACGGCGGAGCAGCGTGGCCGCGTAGTCGCGTCGCCCGCGACATGCGCCGAGTGCAATTACTACCAGCAACAGGCAGCGGGTAAGGCGACCAGCGGCTCTGTTGCGTAACGTTATTTTCTCGATTGATACCTAGGCGACACGGAACACGCAACTTCCGTAACGTCCCCCGAGGCTGTCCCTCTTCCCTTCGACGATCGCGGCGCACATAGAGAAGAGAGAGATGAATTTTATAGAAACAAAACTTAATACAGGATTAAAGTTAGTCTTCTGATTGAGTCAATGTTAAACGTTAAATATTTCAAGACAATAGTACACGGTAATATCTCCTCAGGTAGGGATGATAGGTGATAAGCTAAACATTGAAGAAGTTGTGAATTTTCTCTTGAATATCTCAAAAAGTATTAGGCAAATCAAAAAATGTTTCGGACAAAAGTTGTTCATATTAATTAGTAGAATAAGATAGTATAATAAACAACAGGAGGTTCCGTTTAAAAAAATTGAAGGCGACCTTTGCGTGACCTTCAAGCAACTCGTCAAGGTCAAACTAATGGCACCATCTTATGTCCCCCTTCGAACCAAACAACTTTTATCTGAAACGTTTTTTTTCTGCGATCAAAGATAAGAAAGTTATTTGGGGTGGGACATTAAATTGGGACACCCTGTATAATTAACTTTTATTCGAGATCCGTTAACGTACGGTTGTTGTTCGGAAATTTTAGAAATTGACATCGCTATTAAGAATCCACTGACCACTGAGACACATGTGACATTATGAATTTGCTGCCATAGATTCGTGAACTCATTCTGTTTTGGCATAAATTAATTTTGTCGATTAACATTAGATTGTGCTTGAAGACGACCCGATAAAAGGTCGAAACTTTGTGACTTAAGTAAAAATCACCTTTTGTCGGTCTGGTCGACTTTATAAAAAAATTCTCCCTTTGTTTAATTACCACTGGCGACAATAAGCTTCGCTCAATTTTGTTGATATATAATTAACTTTGGAATATTATAATAACGTGACTCGTAGAAATGCAAGTTGATTTCGGCTCTTCTGTATAAACTTGCTGGATATCAGTTGCGACAGTTGACCTCTTAGGTTTAAATATACATGTACAGATTTTACTTTATTGCACACACACACATATATATATTCTATATATAACAAAATGAAAATCCATTTATATTCTAACGTGAGAGATCGACTGTCGTAACTGACATCTAGCAAATTCGTACAGGAGAGCCGAAAAATAGCTTGCATTTCGAGAAGTTATTCGTTATAATATTCTAAGTTTTGTTTAAGAGTACTTTTTTTTCAAGAAGATGATAATAAAATAAATAATTGAAGAGTTTGGTTGAGGTAAAAATCTCAAAATCGACAGTTTTGTAATTATAACAGGGTTTACTTCTCAGGTTCAAAAATGCACACACTCACATATAATGAAATCCAGAACGAAATAAAAAATCTCCTCAGAACGATATTTTTCCCTACGTAGGCTCACATTCTTAAGCTTTAATTCATCTGTCGATTAGCGAGATGCGACAAGTGTATAATAATAATAATATATTGAAAGGAAAGCGCCAAACTTTTCATTGGAAGCAATTATAGTTGGTAATTGCGGAAATTAGGGGAAATACTGAATATTGCAGCCTTGCCAATGAGGATTTGGACTCAAACAAAGCTTTGTATACCTATATCTATAAATATTCCCCCAGTAGAAGGATTAACTTTGCTCAGCAGATCCCTTAAGCCCTCGAGATTCTCATTTAGATAATTGAAGATTAAAATATAATCTCATCTATAATTGAATAAGAACATATTTTAGTAAAAAACGTCGCATGCTGCCTGGCTGAATCACTTTTAGTTTTCGCAAAATAGTCGAGCATTGCGCGACTTCCAATCGTACGCGAACCTTATCTCTTTTCGTTGCACGACGCGTAAGCAAAATAAAACAAATGAAAATAATAAACGCGATACACGTAAGCGTAAAGACTACAATTTTCGCTTTAGGCCCGGTCTACAATGAGTTGTTAGTCGTTAGTCAGAAGTCGGAACTATATGTCGGTCTTTTTTCTTCCACCCAGAAAGGAAAAGGATCAACATATAGTTGCGACTTCTGACTAACAACTAACGACTCATTGTAGACCGGGCCTTATTGTATGAAAAAACTACAGGATGGATACCAACTTGCATAGATTTAAAGCAGCGAGCTTGAAATTTAAAGAGCCGTACAAATGTTCTTCCCGTTAATGAAGAAGCGAACAGTTTCGTAATATGCCGCAACGAGCAGTCGCGTAACACAAAAAGCTTAACCTAACGACGTAAACCGTACAAGCGCACCCTTGAAGCTTTCAACATTCAGAAAACTTTTGATACGCACCACGTCGCTGATTAGACAAGGAAACAAGGCCTAATACAGCCCGTTATTATAGTCTAGCAACCGTGTAAAATATTCACTTGATTCATAAGAAACGCTCGCAACATTAATCCCCTTGCGGTACAAAATCATAACGGACACAAGGCTGCATGTTGCTCCTTCCTTCTTCTGCCGTACACTACTATAAATAATTTCTTTGAAAATTTATAGAGGCAAGTCCCCTATTACAAGACAGGCTCCCAATATGAGATAGCGGGGAGGGGGTTTCTGCTAAATTAATATCACCTGTTGGTTCCACCGTGAATTTATTGTTCTTGGGGTGAAATTTGCTTAGCGGAAAATTGATTGTTAGATCGTGTAATCGTTGCGAAAAAAAATAAAAGATTTACACAATAGATAGGACTTTCCTCTACCAATTTCTATTCGCGCAACAGTTCCAGATTTTCGTATCTCTGAATTCTTCGCACGCAGAGTGCCTTTAGGAGAGTTTTATCGAGCATTGCCAAAAACTGTGCGGGCTATCGTGAGATTTCGCCGCTTTAAATGAGCATTGCTCTGTGTCCATTGCGAATATAATTGCGAATGAAATTTAACACCGTTCGCATTTTAGATCGCCCGTATCAATTTGTAGTTACCGCATGCGTGTTAATATATTGCTCGTTCGCTATTATTTACGTGATATATATTTTTCGGAAAAACGTTTTCCCGCGTTGCTCGATTTAAAAGAATGAGTATGCTATTTCACAGTAGAATTCTAACAGAAATTGTCCGATAAACACTACATCCATAGATAAATCGCCGGCATTCATGTTTTTTTTAAAGGCCGATTACGTGAAAAATAGTAATTTTCGTTTGCGGGGTTTTTTTTACAAAAACAAAATGCGAAATAATTGGCGAGAAGGGAACAGTTTCGGAACGCGATAGCGTATCGCGCGCGCGCGCGCGTATTTGTAATGGGAGTCAATAATTGGAAACGATATGCTAATAATTCATATACTTTCTGCGTACGCCGGCACACGCATGATGAAAGTAATGATGCTACCGTATCTGAAGTTGAATCTATCAGCTTTAATGGAAAGGTGCAAATTAGAGGAATTGCATCGCGCGTCGCTCGGCTCTTTTCTCACACATAACCGGAGGAACAGTCCCACGATATCCCTTCACACAGGATGCGAATATAATAATGGTATTGTTTTTCATGAGTCTAGCCACGGTTGGTAAACCGTTTAAGAACATAGCTGGATTTTTATGCGCATTCCTTAGAATACCGAGGGAGCTTCTCAAAGGGAAATATATCTATGAATATTCAGAATTGTTCTATTTCGATAGTTAACGCCATTTCTCACGACATTCGCTTTTTTTTCTCTTTCTCTCTCTCTCGCTCTAAACGACAGCTACTGTGCCGCAGATTTTTTTGTTTTTCGAGCGTTCGGTTCTTTGTCAGAACTTAAAAATCTAGCAGATTGCGTCCACTGGAGGGGAGGGGGGGGGGGGGTTAAGAAATCGAAATGATATTTTTAATGTCGGTAGAGAGAGAAGGGAAGCTCGTGATCCGTGATACATTAATCGATTAGGGACTCCAGATCTACAATCGCGGTCACAAAATGCCAATGTACGTAGATACAGAGTATAGGCTTATTCGCGTATATCAACGCTCACCGGAAGCGCGGCCTAGCGTGACTCCGGTACTTCCCCGGGGAGAGATACCCGGTAAGAACACTTATATTTCTAACCAAACGATTCGCATTTTACGCTACGAAACGGAATACCTAAATTTTCCACCAGGCGTGAACATCGAGCACCAAGCACTTGCTCCGGGATCCACGGGGTATTTTCCGACAACGGAAGAAACGAAAAGGGGCGAAGGTGCGGCTCGAGTATGCATACTTTTTTTTCAGGGATTATATTTTATACAACTCGCAGTCCGCGCGTGTCCCGTAAACCAAACGAACCTTCCACGTGGATATTAGATTTGTTAAAACGCGTTTGACATAAGAGTCCGCGGCGTAGGGTCTTCATTGTTCGCCCGCGTACTTCGGATTCGCAACAGGTTGCGGTGCACATGAATGGAACAAACAAAAAAAAATATATACACTTCTCTCTAATGTGACACTTTTGAATGAGTCGCGTGTCACGCCCACGCGATACTAACGCGCGATAGAATTATACGGAGCAAATTGTATATAAAACGGGACACGACGTCGCGTCGGTTAAATATATTTTTCCCTGTAAATTCGCGCCGAGGCAATAGATCGTTCTCTCTTTGGACTTTCGCGACTCTCGAAATACGCGAGATCGCGTCCAAGACTTTCTTCTTCCGCAGCAAAGTCGGGAAGACAAGCTTCGTTTTCTTGCGACACGGTGAATGACGTGATATATCGCGTAGCACTGCAACAATAGAAAATATACGTCAGCGTTACTATTAATGGACGCCAGACTGCAGAAACTGCACAAAGTTATGCGAGCTGTGAATCGCTCGATACACAAGGCACGACTTTGAAAGTACATTAAATATCGATGGCCATCGGCTCCAACGAGAACAATAACTATTCTGTAATGAAGGAAACTTGCCTCCTTCGATTTTGATAACAATTGAGTGAGGGGTCTCCTTCGAAAACCCCACGATTCCATCTCGTCGAGTCGCTTTAAGGAAATTAAGCGATTTAAGAAAATTTTAAAATTTGATTTTTTAAACAATTGCCTCTTTTCCTCGTTACAGATCTCTAGATTTATTTCTTCCATGAATGCCACGATATATGCACCAAACATATATATATATATATATATATATATATATATCAAGATGTTTAAAGATTAGGTTTTTTTTTGCAAGAATTGTACCTTCTTCTTTCGTTACAGATTTCTAGATTTATTTCTTTAATGCGTGTCACGATGTACGTGCCAAGTATGTGTGTATAAAAAATTTAAAGGATCAGGTTTTTAAAAGAAATTACTTTTTCCTCTTTCGTTACAAATTTCCAGATTTATTTCTGTAATGGATCCCATGGCGCACGTACCAAATGTGTGTGTATCAAGAATTCAAAAGATCAGGTTTTTAAAAGAAATTGCCTTTTCCTCTTTCGTTGCCAATTTCTAGATTTATTTCTCGAACGAATGTAACGTACCGAGCACGTATATCAAAATTTTATAAGAATTGTTTCTCCCTCTTCCTTCATCACAGATTTATTTCTTTAATGGACGTTATGATACACCATGTGTATCAACATTTTTAAGAATTGTTTCTTCTTCTTTCATTACGGAGTTCTAGATTGATTTCTTTAATGGATATGTCATGTCATGAGGTATACGTATCAAAATTGAAAAGAAAAAAAAAGATTAGATACGGATCTCACACAGCCGGGTTTAATTGCGGAAAGTGTAGGTCCCGGTCTGTCGCTAAGATTTCGCATAATTTCGTAACCGAGAGCCGTCGAGCGATTAAACGCACGGCGAAATTAAACGTACGGCGTTTACGTAGATTCGACGCGATCAATATTACGTTAGACGCCGTGCACGCGGAATTTGCCCTCGACTGTGGGCCGCGCGCGGATATCTTTGAGGTGCGTTGAGATTATTCAGATTCGCGTGTTTCCTCGCGGCAGACCTTTCGCTCGTAGCTCAAAAATGCGGGCGTACGTCGCGTCGGGGGAGAAAAGTCGAGAGGGAGCCGGAGAGACGGAGAGAGCGCGTCTCTCCCTCCCGGGAGGTTCTCGCGATCTTTAGCGATCAAAGGAAGGTACGCGATTTCTGGCACGCCGCATGCACCTCTATCTCTTCCGGCGTATCTGCCGGGACGTCGCGATACAACCGCACCTGATAACAGATAAAGCGAGGTCCCTCGGCGAGATACTGCAGTACAGAAATGGCATTTGTGTCGGACGGCGCCGCTTCGCTCTTCGCGGCCTTTGACATGTCGGATTTAACACGCGGCGCGAGCACCACCGCGTCGATCTTGTATTATCCGAGGATCGTCGGTGAGTTACACGGCAGCGGTATGCGCCTCGCGTATCAGCTCATTGTTTCGAAGGCTGTAATAAACACGGCGGCGCGTAATGGACTCGTAATAATGCGCATATAATCGCGTAAAAGGCGTGAGGCCACGTTGTATACGTATGGGTATATTCGATCCTCGCCTCTTGTGTTCCAGAATGCGAGTCGAAGGATCGTGGGAATGAGCAGGATACGCAGGCCGGCAAGGACACGGTGCACGACGGCCCGAGGAGTTTGCAGGAGAAACAGCACCGGCCGCCGCCTCACCCCGGTATATCCTCCCTTCATTTTAAATCCGCCCGAGTATTCTCATCGCGGCAACCTATTTTTTACAAAATTGTGGCCCGCGGACAGGGATTTATTTGTCCCTCGGTCCGCGCCGCCGTCCGTACCGTCGGCGTTCGATTCGTTTGGCGATCTTTCGGGGCGCAGCGCGTACGGGACGTGACGTAAAACGGAGGATACTCGCGGATATTCGCGCGCATTTATAAATTCACAGCCGTGTAATAATTGATGACCGTTACCTCTCGAAAATGACGTAAATAAAGATGCGAAATCCGATAAGCTTGAGTAAATTAGAGGCACTTGGTTGCGTGTACCGCTCGTTCTAACGCTCTCGGCGCGTGGCGTGCAATAAGCGAGATAAAATTTTCTACGATGTAACGTTATCTCGCGAGGGCGCCCGCGCTTACGAACGAAAGCGTTCCAAGTTTAATTGCGTTTCGCGCCGCGTTAATATGTTTTTCCCCGTTCGATTACAGGTATACGGTTAACTCTCTCTGTTCGTAGATCTGCACCATCGTTATCTCGTGGAAACAATAACGATGACGACTGTTACGGAGCGGCGCATCGTGCGGGAGATTAGCGAGGAGGAGCGGAAGGACTGCCTCGGGCGGTCCGACGCGGATAAAGATAAAAGCGTTTGCGACGCCCCGAAGGACAACGGTTTTAATCCGGCGCTCTGTCCCGGGACAGGCGGCCCGATGTCGAGCGTTCACGAGAATCCGGCGCAGCTCGCCGCGCGGTGCAACGACTCGGACGTCACGGAGGATCGTGACGGTAATGCAAACGCCAAAAATTCGACGGACAAAAGAGCGGCAGCGGCGGCGGAAGCGGAACGCATCAGCGATCAAACGGCGCCGGGTGAGCAGTCGCGCGAGCAGGACGCGAAAGAGCTGTCCCTCGTTTTCAAGCTGGGCAACGTGTCCCTCGCCAGTAACAGCCTGAAGCCGAATTCCGCGGTGAGACAGCTCTTTCCCAACCCGAAGTTCATCTCGCCGCCGCCGGTGCCGGCGAACAAAGCGGGCTCGGCCTGCCCGGAACACTCGTCGGACGAAGCGCACAAGTTTCTGATTACCGCGGAGAGTTTGCGGCTGTTCGACGCGGTCAAAAAGTCGACGGTCCCCGGTGGCTCCTACGAGTCGCCGGAGTGCGAGTCCAGCTCGATCAAGAGGTCCATCGAGCGGAACACCCTGCGACGGAGCCTAATCGGCAAGTACAACACGATCACGCGCAAGAAGAATCTGCGCCCGAAAAATCTGTCGCTGGAGGAGCGGATCAGGCAGCTCACGTGCGTCGATCAGGACGACGAGAACCTGGACACGACCGACAGTTCGGACAACACGAATTCCACGAGCGACGCCAAGTACGGCGGGGATCTCTCGATACGAACGTCGCCGCTGGGCGAGGAACGGCCTATGTGCGAGTCGCTGCCGGCGAGCGTGGCCTCGACGGAAACCACTGCCATTTTAACGATGGTGTCGACGAGATCGAACTCCTTGACGTCAGCGGCGACGGCGACGACGATGACGACGACGACGACGGCGGCGGCGGCGGCGGCGGCGGCGACGGCGGCGGCGAACGCGATAGCGAACACGCACGGACACAACGCGATAGGGATGCCGATGCTGGTCACGGACAATCCGCCGAATCAGTCCACCTACAGGAAGATCACAGACCTGTTCGCGCACAAGAAGAACGTCCAACCGAATCTACCCGATCTCGGGATAGGCCCGGCTGGCAGAAATCTCCTCGCCAAGGAGTGCCAGTCGAAAAATTCGCTGACGAAGATGAACTCGGATGTGCGGAGGCAATTGCTGGCGAGCCTGGCGCCGTTGTCCTGCGTCACTGTCAACAGCTCCGACGCTCAGGACGACTACTACCGAAACGACTCCAGAATGTTGGCGTCCGCGAACCGTGAATCGATAAACTACAACTCGGACTCGTCGTACAGCTTAGAAGACATAGAGGCGGCTTTGAACGGCGAGGACAGGAAGTACGCCGGTCAACCGGACGTAACGAGATGCACGCCGATAGGCAGCAGACCCGACATCGGCGACAGCACCGCCGACGAGCTGCTCGCGTTCGTCGAGCAGGACAAGTCGAGGATGGAGCGGATAAAACGCCGCTACAACGAGCCGGAGGACCGTTACACGTTCATTAACGGCTACCATTCCGAGGACAAGGCCGTGAACACATCGTCCGAGAACTATGATGGCAAGGTCGTTAAAAATCACGACGGCAGGGACGCGCAGGCGGATAACGAGGAGGAAGAGGACGACGACGAGCTCAACGATTACGGGTTCAATCGACGGCCGTCGGTGACGGGTATCAAGCAACAGTACGAGGCTACCAACGAGGCCGCCGTCCATCGGGCGCGGTCGTGTGCCGGCGCGGCTAACAATGACGCGAGATCCGGCACGATGTGGCCAATGTATTGCGACGTGAACGGCGACAAGATTGACGCAAAGTCCCTGCTGCCCGCCGACGGGGGGGACGAAGCGATCCCCATGGCCGCAGACGCGTACGCGATGGGCAACTTCGAGCGGGACACGAATACGATCAATCGCATAAACACGATGCAGAAGCAGATCGACGACATTTATCAGACTATCGCCGAGAGCACGGCGGCAACGGCGAACATCCAGGGCATCCCCGAGCACACGACTTATCTGGAGAACGCGATACCGCGGCAGTTCGTCAGAACGCCGTCCGGCGACGGCGCCGCGCACTTGTACGCCGAGCACAGGAACGGTCATCATTATTTCCAGGAGCAACAGCAGCTGTCGAGCACGCGCATGCTGCGCATCGCGGGTGGCGGCGGTAGCGGTGGGACCAGCAGCAACGACGATATCGCGGGCGCGATATACACCAACACCCTGTCGAAGATGCAACGCCGCAACCCGCCGGTGACGATCGCCAACTATCACTGCAACGTGATGCCCGGCGGTGCCATGCCCGGCGTCAGCAAGTGCTACCGCACCATGTACTTCGTGCCGTACAGCGGCATGTCGGACCCCACGTATCAGAACATACAGCGCATCCTGCCGCCGCACTCCTCCCCGAACTACGCCAGTCACATCGAGCGGTATCCATATCCCCGTCTGAACAAGACCAATCAGCAACAGGCGTTGTACTATAACGCGAATCGTTCCGCCACGTCGCACTCCAATTTAAATACATCGCCGCCCATCCCGCCGCCGCCTCCGCCGCCGCCGCCGCTCGTGTCCGTCTCGAGTCCAAATTCCATGCCGTTGCAAAGCGGCCAGCAGGCCCTGCATCTGCACATACATCCCCATCAGACCGAGGACTTCCGCTCGCCCAACATCGCCTTCTCCCCTGTGCCTCACTCGGCGGTGCATCCCATGCAGTTTCATCATCAGCATCAGCATCAGCATCAACACCAGCATCAGCATCAGCACCAGCATCACCACGGCGAGATGGCGTCGTACCGCGTGCCCATGGCGACGCAGCAGTCGCCACCCTCGTACACGGTGATCGCCCCCTCGAGGTGCATCCCGGCGAGTAACCAGGACGGCTATCCGCTGTACCCGGCGCACCTGGCACGCGGCGCCACTGCTACCGGCACCACCGCGGCCACCGCCGCCGCCACCGCCGCCGCCGCCGCCGCCGTCGCCGCGGACGTGCAGACGCAAACTATTTCCATCGCGGCTGCCTCATCATTTTCGTCGTCGTCATCCTCGTCGTCTTCCTCCTCGTCGTCCTCGTCGTCGTCCTCGGCGTCGGCGTCCGCACTGTCGTCCTCATCCTCGACCACCTCGGCTGCCGCTTCCCTAAAATGCACCGGAGTCATGACAAACAGCAACAAGAGCTCCGAGCAGATCCTGGGAACGTCCTACGGTGGCGGCAACGCGCAATCCGGAGGCGTCACTTGTCCGGCGTCGTCAGCGACGACGGCGGCGCCCATCGTCGGCTCCTCGGCGACAGTGATGCAGTTGCCGCGCGTCATCAACACGTGCGCGGTGACGGAACGCGGGGTCCCCGAGGGCGCCGCCAGCATGCCCGCCCGGGACTTCCCGCAGCCGACCCTCGCCCCGGCGAGTTCGGCGCCGCACGTCCTGCTCATGTCCAACTCTTACGTCGATCCCAATGCCAGTCTCATGCCCGCCACGGCCAATACCCCGAACACGGTGTACTACGCCATGAACGTCTGAGACCCACGAGGGACACGTAGCTACGAGAAACGTCCGACAAACGCCTAGAGAAATCTCGCGTGGAAACGTACAACTTGTCTCACGGAGTTGTTTGCGTTGCCCGGGAGGTATACGAGTCTTTTCACTGCTATGTCTCGAGTGATTCTGACGCGATTCGTAAGTGACGAGGCCGCGTGGTGGAAAGATTCGCCGTCTTCTCCGTCTGTTAATTGCACGTACGTGGCAGAAATCGCCAATGCCTCGTTGTCATCTGCTAGGATGACACTTCTCGAGCCCTACTTGAATTCTATCTTGATCCGGTTTTCGTCTCTTCCTCGTTTTCCTATCTTGCGTTACTTTTTATCTATTCACAGTCTCAACGTTGCAACTCTTTTCGACGGCTGATTTTGGCCAAGAGAATCATATCCAAAGAGCCTGTTGATCGGTAGACGTACGAGAAATGCACTTTTAAAGAGGTGACGACTGGGGAGCAATGTCTCTCTTTGGAGAAACGGAAACATACGCATTGCGAACTTTTCATTGATATATATATATATATATATACATATATATCATAGCAAGAATAGCGTACAAACGTATATGTGTACATGTTGTGCTAGATTACAGTTACATTAAATGCTCTTCGATATTATTTTCGTTAGTTGACAACGTACGAGACCATCCGCCACGCGATGTCCGTGCGTTTCATCGCGGAATAACGATAACATTAGTACGAAAATTATATCACTTTACACGCTCGTTATTATCACAATATTGTAATACTGTACAAACTTTTTATGGCACTGTAGATACCGTCACTGTAGATCTATGATTCTAGATTTGTTCCTATATCTACAGCATTGTAGATATCGCGACGAAGATATCGATAGTGACTTTGTGTTAGATAGTATCATTAAATTTATGATCCGGCGGAGTTGTTAATTGTTTTGAGTGACGAGACTTTGTAAATCGCGGTCGTTCCGGTCACGTTAACGTTAAATCGCATTGCGCGCGGGACGACGAAATCGTAGGGGGGGGGGGGAGGGATTGTCACGGAGGGAACAATGTGTCGTAAGAATTTCTCTTGGTCGGAGACATGGCTGCCACGTGTATTTATATTCCACGGAAAGGAGGAACCGTCTCTCACTTTGATGTGTGTTTTCGTAGTAAAATCGCTTCGAGTTTTCTTCTCCCCGAGCGGAGGAGCTGTTCGTGAATTTCACTTATACGCTTCATGCCAAATTAAGACGTATCAATGCCTCTAGTCAGTATAAAATTAGTCTACGATAAGAGACACGAACGCCAAAAACAAAGAGAGAAAAAGAGAGAGAGAGAGAGAGAGAGAAAGAAGGTAGGATGCGATTTACCCATAAGTTAATTTCTTAGCGGCGCGCCGCTTTGATTGACGGGCCGCCGGGAGTCCCCGGATCGTGTAACGGGGAATCCCCCGCGGGCCCGTCAGACGCGCGTTAATCGAAACCAAAATTAAGCGTAGCGCATCCGTTCGCCGTTCACGTAGAGAAGCGACGGTGTTTAACGATAATGAAATTTCTTAATGACGACAAGTATTATGTACGCACAGGGAGTAAGTACAAAATGCTCTGCGATGCTAGAAAACAGGATATTTGTTACGTCGCGCTCATCCCTCAGTCACACGCATTTACATATTCATACATACACATGCGCACGCTGACATTTCATTGGGAACTCGTTGAAAGTACAACCAGTATTTCGTGAATGTTGTCTCGTAGTCCGCGTTCATAGATCACCTTACTCTACCGAAGACTCTCGATGGTACGCAGTTCGATTAGACAATATAGGGACACATCTACCCCCTTTTTTAACGTAGCGACCCTCGCCGCTACGATCGCTTCACTTTCGAAGCCCGTATCCCTGTGAAACAATACAAGTAGTCCCTTCAAGACGAGATCGAAGAATAATCGCACGGCCTATACAGTTTACTCAGCGGGAAATAAGATAGATACTTATTTATTTTCTTCGTGCCAAATCACATCGCGACGACTCGTGGCGGTGTAGCAGGATACGTGTCGCGACTTGAGCGACTGGAAATACCGAGGGCCAGGTAGATTGACCACGAAATAGATGTTAAACGCGTCTGATAGTCAATTACCGCGAGATCATGATCCTGACGGGAATTGAAGGGCCGGGAAACCGAACAGAAACGTTTTTGTCACACCGAGAGGATGAGGACGGATGCAAATCGATAACAATTTCCATTTAATAGGTGTTAATCGATCGTGTAATGCGACAAGCGTTGAAAGGTGTCACTCTTCGATTTGTTATTCTCGCGCGAGAGTGTTAACACGTGTATTGTTCAAACGATAACTTTAAATAGTAGGCTACTTATCGCGGTGATACGTGAGATAGTAAGAACGGCGTATATCGCGAATAGAAAATATATTATTATTTATAACAGTTGATATATATTATATATATATATTGTATATTATATTATTTATATTTATATATGCGTATAGGAGATATAACGATTAGGTTTGATTCTGTTATAGCGTTGGCACGGCCGAAGATTTTCGTGTAATCCGCTGAATTCAATTGCAAGGTGATACGCGAGATTGATTCGCGAGTCTGCTGATGCAGGGCTTTAGCATGCACACGGAAAGCTCCCCCTTTTGTCGATGAATTCTACGCGTTTCGCTAAATTCACGGATATAGAAAATAACTCTGACCTTTTCGCGAGAAAAGGTTGGATAGATATATCAAGTAACTTCGGTCTACATCACATTGGCGGTGTTATAAATAAATTATGGTAGGTGTATAACTGCGTAAAACAAATGTTGCGTGTCGGCAATGCAATGTGAATCGTTGTATTGGCTCGACCTCGATTACTTAATTAACGCACTTCACTTTTAGTAATCTTACCGGCGCGGAATGCGTGAGTCGCGCGACGCAGGAGCCCGCTCGTTTATCGTATGTCTTATGTCTACGCCTTGTCCCGGGGATCCCAACTCAATCTACGACGAATTCACAGGGTACACCTGCGTGATGTGATTATAGTGTGTTTTACACATCTATACCAAAGTTGCGTTATGATGAAAATTAATTATACTACTGTTACAATTGTTTCGATGTATGCATTCCGGGCTTGAAAGCGGTTTCGTTTAGGCGAAGTCGCTTACGGCTCCAATTTTATTTGTAGAGCATTACTTTTAGATCTGCAGGGACTTTTGATATTCTTATTATCAGAATGTTAATGGCTCCTGATATTTTTATACCGCGTGTTATAATACTACTTTTAGAGAGTGGTAATCAATATTATAAGTATAGTTGTGCGGAAACAGGTCACGAGTTCTGTTCTAGAGGATAATTTTATAAAGTAACATCCTCTCCGTGAATAGAGAGGCTTCGCAAGTATTACCGTGTTAACTTTCCAAAACGTTTGGATATGCTTCTTGTGATACCGTCAACTTCCGTTACGCGCGTCTTACATTTTCCGTAACTCGTCTGTTACTATTCTGCAACTTTCTTATCGGGGACGTTTCGTGAAATCGCCACGAAGGCGAGATCGGCTCCTAACTGGTTCAAACGTATCGATCGCTCTTAACACGCGTCTATTTATCTCGATTGTCGATTCCACGGCGAAAAAGTTTGGGCGAATACCGGCGTGAGCCAATTGCGTCGCGGTGCTGGTAATTGAAGAGAATAAACTCCCCGGGGTTACCTTCTGCCGTGCTTCCGAGTAATTTTTCGAAGTGAATCTTCGGAAGACGCGAAGGAATATCTCTCGGGACGCGCCAGCTCGTTCGCGTCTCGCGCATTTAATCTGTCAAATCTTTCGGCTGTAAACACACGATCCCTCGGGTGGCCGCGCTGAGATGCCTCTCGTCGCAGATCTCGCTTCTCGTTAATGATCTTGCAACGCCAAAGACACGCTCGCCCCGAATTTCGTTATCCAACGTATAGAACGTACCTTACCGTAAATTTTATTACTCGTTTCGTGAGAAACGTACGATATCGGCGAAGTTACTTTCGTTTTAATCATCGCGAAAGCACAATAACTTGCAGTCCTCCTACTTGATACTAAAGAGACTCTAAGGAGCTTTACTTGCGTAAGAAACTTTTTATTATTTATACATTCTTTGTTGACCTTTTTGTATATAAATATATATGTGTGTACGTATGTAAGTATATTCTCTGACATTTTATCGAGACATAAGATTTACTATAAATGAACGCCTGTTTGCGCATTGTGAAGTATGAGGTATTTTATATTATGCGGCGGCGGAGCGATGCAGACTCTCTTGAGGCCATCGATTCCTCGTGAAGACAGCTTTACCAGGGTTCGTTCCGATTATAAACGAATGCCGCGAGTAACTTGACGTACGCGCGCGTGAGATTCGGCGGGAGTACTTAACGCGCGGATTTTTCGGCCCCGAGAAAGTCTCTGCGAGACAACCGGATGTATTTTGCGGTGACCCCCTCGCCCGCTCGGAGGCGAACGCGAGCGTACGCGAAGCGATGTAATAGCGAATCGAGCAGTATTATAAGTCACGTATCCATTAAGCTATTCGGATAATCGTTGTGCTCCTTATGGAATTAGAGAATTGCACTGTAACGCAGGATATATACTTTGTCGAACCCTCAGAGCTCCTCGAGCGAGAGTTTGGCCGCCGTTTAAGCGAGTTTCGCTCGACCATGCGTGTCGAACTGAATACGAAGAACTTAATATTTTACTGCTACCTTTTACAGATCTATTTATTATACAGTCGTAATATTTATATGTATCAACTATTGAATTAAATTCGGCTTTGCGCTAGTAAGTCGATACTAAACCGATTTGAATGCGTTTTTTTTTTAGAAGCGCACCGCGGTTAGTCTGAGGATGACGGACGGCGCCCAAACTCCCGGCTCGATCAGGTGCTCTGCCCTTCTCTCTTGCGTAGGGCGACGCGAAGTATCGCAAACGCAAGATTGTTGGACATATGCAGGTTGTCTCATCGATGAGTTTTCAGGCGGGGGACGCATCGGCAAGAAGGGAAATCGACGTCCCAGCCGCTACTGCGTCGAGCTTTTGTGAAATAGCTACAAGTTAGCTGGCTACGCATTTCTCGAAACTAGAACTTGGACCAAGTTCTAGCATCGTGGACACAGGCCTTAACAAAGTAATCTTACAAGTTTCTCTCTTGCACAGGATACGCGCGATGTCACGTGAAAAAGTGGGGATGAGACAACCTGTCCAATAATCCTGTCGCAAACGCGGGACCCCGCGAAGTCGTTGAAGCCGAGGGGGTGATTGAGGGGACGCGTTCCCGCGTCTCCTCTGCATTTACACTTAGAGATGCGAATTGTAGCCCGGGAGGACACACGTGGAATTAATCTAGAGGAAGGGGAGAGAGAGCCCTAGCTTTTCTTTCTTGTTTTACGTCAAGCGCGCTGATCAAACCTCTCGGAGGTCTGATCGACCCGGCGGGACGAACGGGGCGATCGATGAAGAGTCAATCGTGCGCCGACGGGAGACGAGGAGGAGATTTGCCAAAAAGATCGAGTCGATCAGATCTCGCCTTCCGAGAGGCTCGATTATAAATGCGAACGTGCGGAAGAACTCGAATCTGTGAAAAGTCGAGGTGATTTCCTCAAAAAAAAAAACTATGTAATCGAATGTTTATTAACTTTCCTTAGCGCACTCACGAAGAGGCATGCACATCGACACACGTTCATTCACCCATTCACTCTTTAGCGTACCGATAGGTCTTATTAATGTCTTAATACTCAGTGGATCGATCGATAAACTCTGTGCGAGATATGCGTATTCGTATTATCACCTCCTCCACCTTGTGTACTTGTGTAAAGGACCCCGTCGATTATTATAGTCCCGTAGTCTCGGCGATGTTAGCGGCTACTTTGTATCGAGTGCTCTTAACGGTCTAAATATCGATGGCACTTAACACGTGGCGCCGATAAGTCCGTCGCGCCACGTGCACCCTCCAAGGGGGAAACGTTCAGGGTGGTGGGCGCG